AAATAAAACACCACCACACATAGTCAGCCAAGATAGCCACACAGACCATGCAGGAGGAAGCACAACAAAACCTGAACACAGCTGTTGAGCATAGCAATCTGTTTACATCATGAGAGAAAAAGCAAGTGAAGCAGAAAACACATGCAAGGCTCATGCTGGGAAAAGAAAACACACACAGGGGCTTACTTTGCCTTCACCACACTTGGTGCCATCCACTGCTCCATCCAGTTTTGAGTGACACGTGGAGGCTACAGTGCACCACAGAGTGCTGCAGACATTCTACACAAAGCAAGAAAAAATATTCAGTAGTCAATACCTATTGCGGAGTAGTACTTTAGTGTCCAAATTATGTATCCTAGAAAGTATAAATACTCATAATGCACTTTAAGGTGTGAGAGGAATAGGTAGTAGTGTGGGACAAGAGACTTGTTCACATTTGCAAAATAGAAAATTATGTATATAACTGAAGTTCTATGACTTACTGAAAATGTAAATATATATGTATAATATATATATATATATATATATATATATATATATATATATATATATACATACATACACACACACATATATGTATATGTGTGTGTATATATATATACACATATATATATATATATATATGTGTATATATATATACACATATATATAAATAGATAAATATAAAATATTCACTCTATTCCAATCAAATGCTAATTAGGAAATGTGTATTTAAACATGCAATTCCTTTCCCATGTGAATTTGCAAAGTTTAAGTCCTAATTTAATTTTAATAGAAAAACATTTATTTGTATCTTTGTGTGCATAACAGAACAGTTTCTGCCAAAATGTAAAGTCTTTTTGACATTTCATTTTTAGTGTCCTAACATGGAGAATTCTGGCATATGCTAAAAGTACAAGCAAACAGTCTGTTTATTATTGCACTTTCCTATTCTTATACTCTGACAACCAAAAATCTGTCAGTGCCCACTGCTTCTCTTGCTGCAGGCAGTATTTCCTTAATGGCCAGTAAGTGCCACTGTATTGGCAATACAACTTACAATTACCAGTGCATCACATACATTACATGATCTTTATTCGAGCTACACACAGAGCAAAGCTTCATTAGACTGTACTATTGATGAGGCACAAAGTTTCTCTACCACAGGCATTGATCTCATGTCTATGGCTTCTGCATCTGTCACTGCAGCCAGTACTGCAGCTTAAACATGTACAAGAGTTTATCAGTGAAATCGGTACATTATGGATAGCCTAGCCACTCATGTGGACATACATACCATGACATGGATAGTGCACTTGTGCAGCTGAATTGGGTGGAGGTTCTTCCTTTCATTTTGCCAAGGCAGCCTTAACACCAGGAGCAGAGCAACAGCTGCTGATGTGCTATGCGCCCTCTTCCACTCTGAGTTTCATTCTGCTTCAATATCAAGCTGCAAGGACTATCTGCTGAAATGGGCCTCAATAAAAATGCTCTCTTGTCTTCCATCAGACTTCTGTCTGCTTTTGCAGCTTACCTTTTTCTAAGGCATGCTTGAAAAACAGGCCTCTGTAAACTAAAGAATATATCCCTCTCAAAGTCCCTCCCACAGCGTTTGATTGACAAACTCATTTTTGGTTGATGGTGTTTCATTTTTGGTCGATGGACCATAAGAATGTTAAACTGAACTAAATAAATTAATAGATTTGTAATGACCTGTAAATGAAAGGTCAAACATACTTTTGCATTTGGAATTTCGCAGAAACTGTTCATTGTTTTGCAATGCTTATTATTATTATTATTATTATTATTATTATTTCTAATTCTATGATGTATCTGTGATGCTGTATATTTTATTTGCTACTTCTTCCAACACCAGAAAAGTTACACTAGTTTTTTAAAACTTATTTATAACATATAAAACTATATGCAAATAAATTTAATATATTTTAATATTTTCAGTCAATTTTAATATTTTCATGTCAGTGCACTATGTGGGAGTGCAGGGATCACATGATCCATACCAGACAATGTACACCAACCAGATGTAACATGTAATGACATTCTATATTTCTTTACTGAGCTTCAGGAGAGTAGAGTTGACGTCCAAAACATTGCATGCTTATTTACTATAAATCCGCAACCCTCCTGCAACCTAACATCTCTGAGAAGGGCACTGAGCTCAAGATAGTTTTCAGAATCAGGCCAGAAGAGAAAATGCATGCTGTTTGTGACATTTTGACAAATGATTGGAAGACACTTGTTATATGCCAAAAGCACAATCAGTCAGGGCCATCTAACTGTCACAAAAAATCTGCTACAATGTGTGATGCACACACCGGTAATGCTGTGCGACATCTCAGGACATCTCAGTTGTAAACACTGACTGGGATCTGATGCCCTTTTGTTAGCAATTCCACAATCAGTCTTAAGAAACACCCAATTTTTCCCTCGAGCCATTTTCCGCTTGTGCAGTCTGCTGGCTTTAACATAAAAAAGGGATTTATGAAAAAGTTTTATTGTTGCTTTTTTCACTACTGAAATTTTAAGACAATCAAGTCTTGGCTAATGCCGTGCATGTTTATGGGTCAAAAAGGAAATGTTAAAACCATATCAAGCTGAGGAACTTATGGTATCTGTATAAATGGATACAGAGACTTCCTGTCAAGCAGACGAGATGTGTGTGGTCCAGGGTCCGTTCCCTTCTCTGCAGGCCAAATCTGCAGGCTTGTGTATCACTGCTCTACCCTTTGCATTTTGACAGCACAAAACAGCTCTGTGGTGCATCTAGATCCTAATGAGAGCAAAATGTATTAAATTATCAGCAGGTTGTCTTAAATCATCTCAATCTCCCACAGGCTCCTATCAGTCATGGCAGCCATTAAGGAGTAATGGGTTTGCAGCCAAAGACATGCTGCGAGTTTATTCAGTCTCAGTTACGAGTAAACACTGAATTAGGGGAACACCATGGGTAATAAATGAGTATGGCTCAGTCACTCTGTTGTGAGCTAAGAAAAGCTTCATGATCCCAACTCAAACAAATTGTCCCATCAGCTTTAACCACTAGCATGTGTTGCTACTTCTGTTCTGTCACAATATATATTAAAGCTATCATTAATAAAATGATAAAAAAAAAAAAAAATTGTCTCAGACTTAGCTCATGTACAAATGTTTGCCTTTTCTTTTACCTTTAGAACCGTTTTTCCTCAGAATTTTTTAAAGGACAATAAAGGCCTGTTAATTTGCTAACACAACAGTATTACCAGTCTGATGGCTAAATGATGGTAAATGCCATGAACATGTAATTTCACACAGTATCAGGCCTTCAAATGGCGCAACAGAAATGCGTTCGCCATATCATTGGGAAGTTTGAATGCCACAGCCATCCATGTCTGGAAGTCTAAGACAATGCTTGCTCATTTAGCTGACGCTTTTATCTGACTTTAAAGCGTCTTACAATTGAGACAAGATACAAGTGAGCATTTGAGGTGTCCAACTGTGGCAGCTTGGCAGTGCTTTGGCCCTACTCTCTGGGTGGGAGAGATGGCACTACATGAGGGAAGTTAGCTCTTTCCTCCGAGTGTATTCAGCTGCCCTGTGTTTATATGTATTATCAGCAGCAGTTTGAAAAAATGCATGGGATAGCTTCATGTGTCTTGGAGGAAGCACATCACCCTCACCCCTAAGCCCTCAACCTTGCCAGTTGGCGTTGTGGCTGTTGTGTGATAAGGGAGTGTTAGCATGGTGTTTCTATCTGAGGTAGATCAGTGGATAAAACTGGCCTACTGCTCAAAAGGACAAATCTTGGCACTACCAAACTGCCACAGTTGGGCCCTTGAGCAAGATCTTTAACCTTCAGCTGCGCAATTGTATCCTGTTGCTTTGGATAAAAGTGTCAGCCAGGTTAGATAAATGTATCTATGCATGCTGCTGAGAGCCCTAAGGTTAAGCAGCAAACCCACTAACCCCAAATGCTGTGAGCATCATGTTAAACAAGGCAACAGGATCCAAAGCTAGCACAGACATCTTTAGTGTGTCTGTCTGTGATTCCCACCTACTAGAAAATAAATTCCTGACTAATGACTACCAACCTGGAGCACTGACCTCCATAGTCATAAAGAGCTTTCAGAGGATGGTCAAGCCTGCTGATATAGACCCCCCGCAATGGACCACAAATTATACAGTTGCCACGATGCTGCACACCACCCAGTGTGGGTCTCCTGTTTTCAATTCCTTGACGTCACCTCGCATGGTTCCTCCGCATTCACACAGCTGAGGGCAGCCCAAGAACATCCCTCCTTCTTGTGGAAGGCGTACTGAATCATCTAGCACATTTATCTGCGTATGCAACAGACTTAAAAACGTTTGTAATCCCTAAACCATTACACATAAACACAGTGGAATAATCAGCCTATCCACTCCTCCAGTCTCTCCTACTTATCAGTTGTCATTTTACTGTATGTTTATTTATAACCTGTGATTAAATGCTGTCGAAGGTTTCTATATTTTACTGCTGCTACCTGTGTCATTTGTCATTTGTAAGTAAACACTTCCGTAATTATATTTACTTTTATTTATTTATAGTAACCACATAAAGGGTTGTTTAGCTTGCTACCATAAAACCAGTGACAGATCATAAGGTGCTGTGTGGATTTCTGAGTCCAAGGATGAACAGCTGTATTCAGAGTTGAGTTATGCACACATAGTGAGGAGATCGGACATTCCTACTCAAGAAAAATGTAGTACCTTTGGGTGTGAATCACATGCAGACAATTTGCATAATCTGAAAGGAAAGCCAAACAAATTAAGCTATGTAACCCAAGTCTGAATACGTGTAACTTTTCCTGTGTAAATGTTGCTGTTCCTCTTTGAGCTGCTCCCATTAGGGGTCGCCATCATGGATCACTGGTCCGCATATTTGATTTGGAACAGTTTTTACGCCAGATGCCCTTCCTGACACAACCCTCCCCAGTTTTATCCAGGCTTGGGACCGACACTGAGACACTGTTGCATGCTGGGTTTGGTTCCCTGACAGGGAATTGAACCCAGGCCACAGGGGTGAGAGCGCTGTGGTCTAACCACTAGTGATCCAGGGACCAACTTTTCCTGTGTAAATACTGATGTAGTGTTTGGACTTGTTTTATTGTTGCCAACTGAATACGGTGCTAAGAGCCATCGAGGCATGACATGAATGCTATAGGCTATTAGTGCTGTTTTTACATATTTGACCCAATTAGGCCTACTCAGAACATGTCCAGCACAATTTATACAGTATAATGCACATTGTGGTTCCACGTCTCTGTTGCAAAACCATGTCTATGAATATCAGATTTTGTTTTGCACCAACAGACCCTGCTTGGACGCCTGCATTCCGGAAGTCTGTTATGTATCGAGCAGCTGTGCACAGGGTTCGCTGAGGCCGTGTGGGTGTGAAAAGTGAAGAGAAAATTGATGTCTTACGTCCATGTCATCACAGAGCAGCGAGCTGGAGCCATACTGGAGGCGGCACTGGTGGGCAGCGCTGTAGAGAACGCCAGGTAGCACAGACTGAGCGGCCAGCTCATTTCTGCCAGGAGGGTCATCCAGACACCAGCCCCAGCCTCGACTGTTAAGCAGGAAAACACACACTTCATCCCCATACAGTGATAGCACTCCTGCAAAAAGCCTTATGCTTTTTCACTTCCTGTCTGTCGCTGTCTGGTTAAAATTCATGTCTGTGATTTTCACCTTATACGCTTATAGAAAGGACTGTCTTACTAAATTTACATGGACAGATTTGATGACAGTTTAATGCAAAATAGTTGAGAGATAATAGCTCAATCATTCAGAGTGGTTAGAGAATTAACTGAAGTCTTTTTTTTTTAATAACAACTGAAATGTTGTAATGTTAGGATTAGAATAATTAGTGTGTATTGCAAAAAAAAAAAGCTCATAAAAGAAGAGAAAATAGTTAATTCATATTTAGAGAATAGAATAATAGAGAAAATAGTAAATTCATATTTATACCATGAAAACCAAAACAGCTGGGAAATTAATAAGGAAGAACTTCCCTGAGCTGAATGCTGATCAGATTATCTGGAAAGGCCATACGGTGCTGCAGCAAGGGCCAAATTTCCGAGGCAGAGCAAAAATCTCTGTCATTGCGTATGAGACCAGTAAACAAGTGCAGATTTAATTGATGGGTGGTTGACTTGCCAAATCATAAATAAATGAGATGGGAATGGTTTCAAATCAAGTCTGCATGTCATTGTTTTTTTTGGATCTTCAGCAGGAGCCATGTCCAGACACCTGGCAACTATCTGTAATTTATTCAAGCCCCAGAACTTCAAGCCTCCATTGTTCCCCCAACACATTGCTGATCTAAAAAATGCTAGTGTATACTGTAAATCTCCACTTCAGCCTCTTCTAAGCACTTAACAGCAAGCTACAACAGCACATTGTACTCCGTGCTGTTCTTTCATTAGAGGAAGGAGGAAGGGAGGGAGGTTTCATGATACATGCCATGTCACGGGGGAGGACGTGGCATAAAGCCAAAGGCCCGGGAAAGCCTTCAGGCCTATCAAGGGTAACGGGCTTTGGATACTGTATCATGATTAAGCTGCCATACATAAGCTCTCTTCAATCATCCATAGATAATTCGCATTTGGCACACAAGTATTCACAGAAGAATAAATACTTATTAAGTCGCTAGTCTGTTCATCTTCTCATTTATAAGTTCCTTGGAAATTCAGTTTTATTTGAGTGATTTGAGTTGGATATCTTTCAAAATGCGCTTACTTTCTGGCTCTGCATCTTACCACCTGATCAATCATTAATATGATCTAATGCATAACACATATACCGACTGCTTTCCAAAGAATTCTGTACCACATTCTCATAGAGATGTGTGTCAATTTAAAGTAAAAAACAAACAAACAGTGGCTCTGTTATGCTGCGGGGGGCATTTATTAATTAATGCCATCGTCTGAGTCCACTTGTACCCTTAGAGGGAAGTGGGAGTGGTCTCTACCAGGATGGCCCTGCCCCCATCCACAGGGTATAAGGGTTCACTGAATGGCTTGATGAGGATCAAAATGATCCTTTATAGCCTTCATACTCATCAGTTGAACATCTGCCTGAGATTCTGGACCGACGTCTTAGACACCATTCTTTAGCACCATCATCAAAACACCAACTGAGGGAATATCTTTTGGAAGAATGGTGTGCATCACTCCTGTACAGTTCCAGAGAGTTGTACAATCTAAGCTGAAGAGCATCAGGCTGTTCTGGTGGCTCAAGGTGGCTCAGTACACGGTTTTTGGGGGGTTTCCTTTAATTCGTCACCCATCTGTATATATAAGGGATACAATATGGTATGCGGTTATAGAAATATAATTAACCACAAGGGACAGTATTCCAAGTTGGTGACTTAAGTCCAAAAGTTACATCACTATTTATGCAGGAAAAGTTACACATATTCAGAATCAGGTTACGCACATGCTTAAATTGACTTTCTGGAAGCCCCATTCAGATTATGCAAATCACCTGTGTATACCTCCTTGCAGGCCCTGGTCACAGCTGATGTTGTTATGGCTAGTTCATGCCTTTGAGGTTGCCAGATGTTTCCTGAGTAGAAGCCAAACTGAGATACGCCTCTGTTTTAGGCAAACTCCACCCCACACGTGAAGTTCTTGTTCAACTACAGTATCTGAATCGCACTTGAGTCCGTAGTTAGGTCTGAGGTCTGAATATCGATGTGTGAAATTTTGGTATTAAATCCTAAGTACATACGTGTAACTGAAATCTGAATATAGCTCAAGAAGCAAGTTACGGTTACATTGCACTTTGTTCAAGAAATAAACATTATCATTTTTATCCATTTACTGTTAGAATCAGTGCATTAATATAAATCAGTGATTTAAACTGCATATTTTTTAATCCATTTATAATTAGGCTTAGATTATGTGGATCATCTGCCATACATGACCCTGTGAATGAGTTGTTACTATAGAAATGATCATGTGTTAGAATGAGCGCATTAATATTAATCTTGCAGCCAGAACTGTTCGAGCTGCTATTATAGAAAATTAATCAGCACCTTCTGAACAATCAGATTTGAGAATTCAACTGCACTGTTATACAATGACTCATGCTCATGAATACACGCTCAGTTACTGTCAATTCTGACTATACAATATAACACAACCATTCACAAGTTAATTCAGTACTAATTACTGAATAACCAGCTTAACAATCTAAACAATCAATTTGGCTTCTTTTACTATAATACTCCTAGCCACAGTGAATAAAGTAAAGAGTGTGGGAGAACAGGATAGATCCGATCCACCTATAATGAGCAAAAACAGTGAACTGATCAGCCAGCATGGCTTTGGTATAATGATCTAGCTTGGTTCAGTACCAGGACACTGGCTGCTGTGTAAAATACTCCCTCAGGTGTCTCACCTCCCTCCACTCTGACCTTTACTGACCTAAGCTTAATGCACTCCAGCTGGTGGAGCAACATTGACAGGAGAAACAACACAGCCATGCTGTTGCTTGGTGTAATCGGAGCTGTTTGCACCTTCTCTGGCAGAGTCACTTATAGACGAGACTAACTCAGTCCATGCCAAACTTTATCTGTCAGATTGAAAACAATCCAAAAACACATTCAATGGGTGATTCACAGTAAACAGAACGTCTCAAGATGATGCTTTTACACCTACTTTTTGAGCTGAAAGACCAAAAAAACATAATATAGACAAAATAGAATGCTGTAATTTAGCACACAAGAAGTCCTAGCAAAGTAATTTCTCTCCATATGAGAAGCTCCATCTGTAACTCAGTCAGAAGCATTACATCTTGTGTAGCATCCTATCCAAAACCCTGTAATCAGACCTTCTGTGAGCTGAGCTGAATACGGGCACTTTACTTCATAGAAGAAAGTGGAAAATATGACTGATTGCTAAGGAAAAGAAAGATATTTATAGAGAGAGGGAGAAATGAGAAATCAGGCAGTGTGTTACTCACTCCAGAAAGCGTGTGATGTACTGGCGGCTGCACCGCGACCAGTTGGGTGGAGATGTTCCATATAGGAGCTGAGGAGACATGACAAACGGCCTTTTCCCAATTGGTTCGCAGTCATTGCTGTTGCCATCATGTTCAATCCCGAAGCTGCAGCACAGAGCAGGTGATGACAATATGACAGAGCAGTGAATAAAGGAATCCTTACATAATTCCAGACACTTTTTCCTAAAATGGTCAACAAGAATAGCTTTAAGTTAGGTGGTTGCAAACACTGACAGTGGAGTTTCCATCCATTAATGTTAAAAAAATTCTGATTGGGTATAAGGTGTTGATTTATCCACCCTAGACTTTTCTACATTTTTTTTTTATTGATACAACCTACAAAATAAAACAGATTTAATTCAGATTTTATGTCACTAATCTGCACCAAATAATCAATATTTCCTGGAACTGAAAAAAAAATATTTTAAAAAAATTGGGGAAAAACTTTTTAAAAAATGAATTTATGAATTTAAAAACCATTGCATCAATATATGAAAAATGGTTATACATAAACATTCCATATACATAATAATCGAGTGAGTAATGCACCATGCAGCAGGATACATTATGAGTTTTTTTCTAAATTTATGAAGCAGATTTTTGATAGAAAATGGTCCATGCTGACAAACTGAGGTTCACTATGTAGCCTGATATCTCTTCTTAAAAAAAAAACTATGCCAATTAAAGAGCTGAGAAGTAGACACAAAATGTGAAAATATCCAAGAGGGTGAAAACTTATGCAATGCACTGTAATGCCAGGCTGAAGTACTGGAGTTTAGAGGTTACTGCATGTATTTACACTACTGAATTGATGAATAAGATAATGTCTATTCTTACCATGGTTTATATTCTCAGGATAATGCGATATAATGTTTGGCTCACTGTGTCATTATTGTACAAATGTAAATGATGATCAAAGATCTCTCACATTCAGAAGATTTACAATCTCTGTCCATGTCTTTTATACACACAGCTGTAGTGTATATACAAGGCAGAGTGAATGTATTGAAGTATAGGGCCATGCCTGGAATGCAAGGCTGATCAGCTGCAAAAATAAAGCTCATACAATGGTCAACACACGTGTCACCCTTAGGGCATGCTCTCTACTTTCTTCCCTTAGTTCTCAGCTTGGAATCATAATCAGCATACTGCATTGCTTTAGTATTAATGCGGGTATGAAACTTACTTCAGAAAATATTAAATATTCACGTCTGCTCATGCTGTGCTCAGATAAAGCTCATAATGTGGAATTTCCAGCCTCTGACTAGAAACATCAAAGAAAACGCCCCTCAACTTAAAATTCCCACTCGGAAACTTGGGAAGGTCTCCTCAATCCTGAGTTCGGCAAATGACATCAAATCAGCATGGCTGCTCACAGCATCAACAGTTAACAGTTAACAGTTAAGTAGCACCTATTTATAATTTTAAATGAGTTATACTGTATATACAAGTATTTGCCTTAGATCAATCAACATACAGATATATTAGCTTGGTAAATCTAAAAAGGAACACTGACTATACATTTCACTGTTTTGAGGATGTAAATATACATCACTCACATAAGATGTATACGTTGGCATCCATGTTTTTCCCACTTTGTAACTCGAACGCATGGAGGGCAATAATGGAGTAATTCCGACTTCCCACTTCCAAGGAAAGTCAAACACAATACATCAAAGATTGAATTATTATTATGGTTTTTATATGTGCCATATAAAAAAAATCAATTTTATATGATTTTCTTTTTCAAATTTTTATGTTATTTTTTTAAAACCAAACACCACCACCCCCTTTTCAAAACTATTTTTTTTGTAGAACAGTGCAAGTAAAAAAAATTGAATATCAAGTAACATATTTTAGGCAGCGGGGAAGCTGTGCACTTTAACCGCCTTAAAAACCTAATAAACCTAAATAAATCAAGAAAGACACAACGCCAGTAACTACATCCGATGGAAAAAAGAAAGAAAAAAAATGGGGGAATGCATGCTAACAAACTCCATGTTTTAACATTTTTTAAAGATAAAGTGTGCAAGGAGGAATTAGCTCTCTATACACTGTAAAAAGTGTTTATTCTATATAACCTGACTAGACCTGATTTTACTTGAGAGACTAAACAGGAGAGAAGGCAGAACATGAAAAGAGGTGAAAAAAAAAAAACACAGTTCCTGAGTGGTGCACTCATAAAGTGTTTGACATGGGGGTCAGGAGATCACTGTTTCTGTCTCAGTTTAAAAAGTTGCACGTGGCAGATTTACGTTGTGCTACAAAGCAGTCTTACACTCCCAGACTGGTGGCTCTTGGGCAAAACTGGAGGAGAACTAGCTAAATATTAGACAGATTTTAATGTAATTTGCTTTCAAAATGCAGCTGTTATTAAGTATACATAGAGTATACTATTGTTTTTTTCACAAACATGTATGACATACATTTTGTTCCAATTCAATCCAAGACAAGTAAATAGTCACATACACATCAGTGAACAGGGAAATTCTTCTTCTTTTCACAGATCCCAGCTTTTTAGGTCAGAGCTCAGGGTCAGCTAAGCTAGGAGTGCACCTGGAACAGATGAGTATAACAGGATCCAACAGGGGTGGAAAGCTTGAACCCCCAACCATCTGGCTAACAGCCAACAGCCTTAACCACTGAAGTGCCACTACCCTGTATAGGTAGGTTGACCAACTTGTAAGTCTCCAGCTACACTGAAAACGAGCCCCTGGAATGAGTAAGGTAGTTGGCTGGTCTTAAAATTCATGCTCCAGGTGAGGCTTGAACTCACAACCTCGGCATTGCTTCACTTGTACTGCTGTATAAGTACCGCGCGCTAACCGATTGCGCCACTGGAGCACAGAATGTAGTCTGTCAATCAATCAATAACTGACAGTGGAGTGATGTGACCCAACACAAAGGTTACTGTTACCACCCTAAAGTTGATTACTTTCCTATAACAGCATGCCTTGAAGTGTTTTGTTCCTTTTATACCACAGTAAATAGCCAATCATACATCATACTGTTTATGTACTTTTTAGTCCTTTCCTCACCAGTCTCTTTTTTTTCTCTCTCTCTCTCTCTCTCTCTCGAACTTAATAAGACAAAAAAATGCAGTCCGTCATCCTGAAGGCTTTCTTGTGTCGGAAAAGTTGACCTCTGATTGTTACAAAGTACTGACACTGGAGACTCTTTCCATAAATGTTAAATGCTAACTTCTGCTTACAGAAAATTTCACCATATTAACAAATACATACCTTGTTTCATTTGTTTATCTGGAGCGTCTGCCATGCAAGTCTGTGCGTATGTTGTTATGATAGAATCGATAAAGTGTTAGAATCAGTAGATTAATATAAAACTGTAATTTGCCTTACAGTCTGCGCCACTGTAAGAGCTGCTGTGACAGAAAATAAATCAACATTTTCTTATCACAATTCAGTAGCACTGTTTACATGGATTACAGTATGTTAAAGTATTCTCACACAATGTTTTTCAGATTAAGTGTTATGATTGATGCAAATATTAATCGTAATTTATGTCTTGTGTTTTCAAATGAGACATGGAACTTGAGGATAATTATATTCGTTTGGGCTGTTACCCCAAACTCTTATCAAAGGCATCACAAGGAAACAAATAACAAATGAACATCCAAACCACTTTGCAACAAATAATCAAACATAACAGGATTCCTTTGATGAAGACCACATGCAACTTCACACCCACATCCCTTTAAGATGTTTCACATGCATACAGATGTGCTGCGATTCTGCTTTAAAAACCTTATTTGTGTGCTGGGTGAAGTGGAACTGACTCCGACACTGACACTGACACCATTCCTCATTATCATACAGATAGAAAAGCCGCAACTCATTAAGGTCCCCTTGATACTACCGTCAACCCGGGCTTGTTTATGAAGCTTAATCAGAGTGCTCTGCCTAACACAAGACCCACTGTACTTTCACTGTACACAAATGAGAATAATCAAAGCAGAATGATCACATTCTACAGACTTTTACACACAGTAATCTCTCTAGGCCTACATTCCACTGTGATCGCTTTATACCTCTTATGCTAATGCTATTTCCTGTTTACAGCTAAAGAAAACAAAGTACCTGTGTAAGTTAATGTATTAGAATAAGGACACTAATTATATAAACAGAATTTATGGAAACAGACATGCTGTTTGACTGAAGCTAATATCTGCTAGCTAGTTAAGACTTTTTTTTTTTAACACTTACCCACCTCAAACAAGGCATACGGTGTTAAAATTGGCTAAACAACAGTGCTATTCTTGATATTGAGTGGTCAGAAAGTGTTGATTCATTTATTTATAACAGCAGATTACAGCAAATCATGTGCTGTTCTAATATGTTATTGTTTCTATAGTAACAGCTCACTCTCGTGTGGGACCTGTATGGTGGACGTTCCACGTAAAGGAATTAAAAATGTGTAATTGTTGATATGGTGAAGTTTTCTGTGAGTGTCAGGGAAGCATCCAGCCTTGGACGCAAGTGCAGGTACTCAATGTTTATTAAGTGCCGTAACAAACACAACCAAAATGTAAACCAATGATGTGGTCAAAAAACAGGCCCAGGTCAGGCGATGTACAAACAAAGTAAACAGGGATAGGCTGTAGAACTGTAAACAGAATAGGGTCAAAACCAGAAGAGCATACAATAAACAAAGGCTTGGTAATGACTGATACAGAAAGTCACTGAGTGTATACTTCACACTGAATGAAATGAATGTCATTATATACTGTGAACGTGCTGGGATGTGAGTCCAGGTGTGTGAAATCAGTAATCAGGTGAATGTGAACGTGAGAGTGTTTGGGTATTGTAATCCTTAGCAGCCATTTCTGTAGGCCGCGCTGTGTGTTGGGAATTGTACTTGAATGCTGTTTATGGCGCTGACATGACAATAAGGAGATGTTTACTGAACATTTATGGAGGGAGTCTCCAGTGTCAGCCCTTTGTAACAGTCAGAGGTTATAAAGTTGCAACTTCATGATTTCCAACTCAGTACAGAGAGCTTTGCGGTTTCTCAGTAATAAGACAAGCTGTGTTTTTTGACAGGAAGAGATTCGCATCCAATTTATGTGAAAGTCATACCTATATTTATAAATATATATACAGTCAGGTCCGGAAGTATTTAGACAATGACAGAGTTTTTGTGATTTTGCCTTTATACACCACCACAATGGATATTGAAATAAATCAATCAAGATGTGATTGAAGTGTAGACTTTCAGCTTTATTTTAAGAGGTTCCACAAAAATATGGCATTTACCATTTAGGAATTACAGCCATTTTCAACAAAGTACCTCCATTTTCAGAGGCTCAAAGGTATTTGGACAAAGTCACATAATTGTAAATGTAACCATAATTTTAATACTTGGATAAAAATCCTTTGCAGTCAATGACTGCCTTCAGTCTTGTCTTCAGTAAGTGAAAAGCATGCTTTATTGGGTTGAGATCAGGTGACTGACTTGGCCATTGAAGAATATTCCATTTCTTTGCCTTCAAAAAGTCTTGAGCTGCTTTCGCAGTATGTTTAGGGTCATTATCCACCTATTGTCCTATCATGTTGTAGCATTTGGCTGAATGTGAGCAGAGAGTATAGCCCTATACACCTCAGAATTCATCCTGCTACTTCTGTAAGCAGTCACGTCATCAATAAACACCAGTGAGCCCATTCCATTGGCAGCCATACATGCCCATGCCATAACACTTCCTCCACCATGTTTGACACATGATGTGGTATACTTTGGATCATGAGTTGTTCCTTTCTTTTGCCATACCTTTCTCTTTCCATCATTCTGGTACAAGTTAATCTTGGTTTCATCAGTCCAAAGAATCTTATTCCAGAATATCGGAGGCTTTTTTAGATGTTTTCTGGCAAAGTCTAATCTGGCTTTACTGTTCTTGAATGTTACCAGTGGTATGCACCTTGTTGTAAACCCTCTGTATTTACATTCGTGAAGGCATCTCTTGATTGTAGATTTTGACAATGATATGCCTACCTTCTCCAGAGTATTCTTGACGTCTGTTGATGTTGTGAAGGGGTTTTTCTTCACCAAGGAAAGGATTCTGCGATCATCCACTTTAGTTGTCTTCCGTGGTCTTCCAGGCCTTTCGATGTTGTTGAGCTCAACAGTGCTTTCTTTCTTTTTATGAATGTACCCAACTGTTGATTTGGCCACGCCTAAGGTTTTTGCTATCTCTCTTATAGATTTATGTTGTTTTTTCAGCCTAATGATGGCCTCCTTCACGTGCATTGAGATCTCCTTGGACTTCATATTGGTAGCTCCAATTGTCTTGAAGTAACGAGGGAATGGACCGCACCTGGTCAATTAACTTCTTGTCAGTCAATTGTCCAAATACCTTTGAGCCCCTGAAAATATGGTAAATGGCATATTTTTGTGGAACCTCTTAAAATAAAGCTCTACACTTTGATCACATCTTGATTGTTTTATTTCAAATCCACTGAGGTGGTGTATAAAGGCAAAATCACAAAAACTCAGTCATTGTCCAAATACTTCTGGACCTGACTGTATATTACTACTGTCAGTCTTGCTGAAGTCCAGCTATTGCCATTTCACATCCATTTCTATATTCAAATTTTTTCTTGCTCAGAGAAATACCACCATATAGAAAAAGAAATTATTTTCAATTTTGTACCACTTTGCCTAAAAATTTAACATGGGTCATCCTGACCCAAACAGAACAGGGGTTAAAGATGAAACCTGAGGATTAGCAGTGTTGGTGGAGGACTTACTTATGTCCCAGCTCGTGTGCAATGGTGAAGGCCAGCGGCAGACCCGTGTCCTCATTGATGCTGCAGCTGCGATGAGGTTGACACATTCCCGCCACATGAGAGAGCCCCAGCGTCTCACATGGCTTGTTGGTGGAAGCACAAATGTCTTTCCTGTGCCAAAGAGAAGTGTTAATCATGCCTATATTAAGCACAGGAACCTCTCCCAGAGCTCATCTAACCTCCTGGCCATATTTCATTCTCCAAACACTGAGGAGTTTGGCATTCTCTTTATTCCTCTTATTGCTGTGCAGAGCGAGTGCAACAACTTACAAGCAGAAAGAGCTCCGAACTTTGCTGAACGGCAGAAAATATAAGGAAATATACATTAGGGACCAGTATTATAGAATATCTGATGATATAATAGATACTTTTTAACAACCTGAAAGAGTAGTTTTTGCTGACTTTTGCAAAACAAAAGGTTTTTGTTTGGTACTTAACTATAGCAGCATAGCTGTCATATAACTCTCCTGCTATAAGTAAATATACTAGCCATCTTTTACATGAGACACGAGGCCAGAACAGCATAGCCAAAACATTGGCCAGCTTCTTGGTGACTTGTTGTCAAGGGCATAAACATCATGTGCAACTTTATAAACTTTGTTAGAGGAGGATAATTTTCATATGCAATTTAAATCCCCTTAGTGTGTATTAACGCACTTAACTAGCTAACTAGTTCGCCATACGTAATTTAGTTTCCGGGCAACCAAAACATGGGACTGGGCAGCACACTGGACTTATGTCCACCCTGGCCTCTATATCTCAAAAAAAAAAAAAAAAAAAAAAATGAAAGGCTCATTCTTTACATGTGCAGTGCATTTCACACAAAAGCTGAAAGACACGAGTGGTCATATTGTTCAGGTACAAGGCAAAGCAGCATTCATCAATGTGTCAATCAATATTGAGGTTATGATTCTGCAGCTGAATTATAAACTGGATTTTCTTTAGGATAGAACTACACTTTTCCTTTTTTGCACTTGGCCATAATTCCATTCATAAGTTGCCAAGTATTTCATATATTTATCATTTATATATCGGTAATGCTTT